GTGAGGGGCAGAGTCTCACAGAAGCGCTTGGAGGTGTTAGTGAGACCCAATTGTGGGAATCTTTGCTGTCTGGTGATATTTGGGCTCCTCAAGACAAAGGTAAACCCCAGAAAGGTGTGAACTCTGGGATCAGATTTTTGCTTTATCCAAGATGGAACCAGAGGGTGGCTGGAGAGGCCGGAAGCCCCAAGAGAAGGAGGTGGGCACCATTGCTGAGTGAGAAGCTGGGGCAGCTTGGACCTTGGTGGTTGCCATGGAGACAAAGAGATGCTTGTGGGCTAGAGGTATGCTTTGCAGGCCTAGGGGACAAGCCGTGCTGATGGAATGAAGTGAGGTGAGGACAGTTAAGAATCAAGATGCAGCCCAGATGTCTAGAGCCACTGAGATGAGAAACGGGGCCAGGCAAGGAGACAGAGTGAGTCCAAATGAAGTCCCTTTCAAACTGGGCTGACCAGTGACAGTAGCCATTTAAATCCACAGTGAGGCTGGCCGCAGTGGCTCATGCCTGTAATCCCAGCACTTTGGAAGACTGAGACAGGTGGATCACTTGAGGTCAGGAGTTCAAGACCAGACTGGAAAACATGGTGAAAACCCGTCTCTACTAGAAACACAAAAAATTAGCCAGGCATGATAGTGGGTGTCTGTAATACCAGCTACTTGGGAGACTGAGGCACGAGAATCGCTTGAAACCAAGAGGCAGAGACTGCAGTGAGCCGAGATCGTGCCACTGCACTCCAGCCTGGGCAACAGAAAGACTGTGTCTCTGCCGGGCGTGGTGGCTCACGCCTGTAATCCCAGCACTTTGGGAGGCCGAGGCGGGCGGATCACAAGGTCAGGAGATCGAGACCACAGTGAAACCCCGTCTCTACTAAAAATACAAAAAATTAGCCGGGCGCGCTACTCGGGAGGCTGAGGCAGGAGAATGGCGTGAACCCGGGAGGCGGAGCTTGCAGTGAGCCGAGATCGCGCCACTGCACTCCAGCCTGGGCAACAGAGCCAGACTCCGTCTCAAAAAAAAAAAAAAGAAAGACTGTGTCTCAAAAAAAAAAAAAAAAATTAAAAAATTAGCCTGGCATGATGTCATGTCAGAGACAGGATCTTACTCTATCACCCAGGCTGGCGTGCAGTGATGCAAACACAGCTCACTGCAGCCTCAACCTCCCCAGGCTCAAGCAATCCTTCTGCCTTAACCTTCCAAGTATCTGGGAGTAGCTGGGACTACAGGCAGCTGCCATAATACCTGGCTAATTTTGTATATATGTATATTTTTTGTAGAGACAGGGCTTCGCTTTGTTGCCTGCATCTGGCCTAAAAAATTGTTTTAGAGAAAGGGTCTTGCTATGTTGCCCGAGCTAATGTGAAACTCTTAGTCTCAAGCAATCCTCTCACCTCAGCCACATTAGTAGCTGGGACTAGAGGCACATGCCCCCACAACTGGTCAATTTTTTTTTTTTTTAAATGAAGACGGGTACCTCAGCTGGGTGCAGTGGCTCACGCTGTAATCGCAGCACTTTGGGAGGCTGAGGCAGGCGTATCACCTGAGGTCAGGAGTTCAAGACCAGCCTGGCCAACATGGCGGAACCCCATCTCTAATAAAAAAATGCTGACCGGGCGCGGTGGCTCACGCCTGTAATCCCAGCACTTTGGGAGGCCGAGGAGAGCAGATCACGAGGTCAGGAGATTGAGACCATCCTGGCTAACAGGTGAAACTCCGTCTCTACTAAAAATACAAAAAATTAGCCGGGTATGATGGTGAGTGCCTGTAGTCCCAGCTACTCGGGAGGCTGAGGCAGGAGAATGGTGTGAACCTGGGAGGCGGAGCTTGCACTGAGACGAGATCGCGCCACTGCACTCCAGCCTGGACAACAGAGCGAGACTCTGTCTCAAAATAAATAAATAAATAAAAAATGTTAAAAATGCAAAAATTAGCTGGGCATGGTGGCATGTGCCTATAATTCCAGCTACTCGGGAGGCTGAGGCAGGAGAATCGCTTGAACCTGGGAAGTGAAGGTTGATGTGAGCTGAGATCACGCCACTGCCCTCCAACCTGGGAGACAGAGTGAAACTCGGTCTCAAAAATAAAAAAAAAAAAAAAAGACAGGTCCCTCACCGTGTTGCCCAGGCTGGTCTTGAACTCCTGAGCTCAGGCAATTTGCCCGCCTCAGCCTCCCAAAGTGCTGGGATTACAGGTGGGAGCCGCCACGCCCAGCCTATTATTGTTATTATTTGAGAAAGCGTCTCACTTTCGCCCAGGCTAGAGTAAAGTAGCATGATCTCGGCTCACTCCAACCTCCGCCTCCCAGGTCGAAGCAATTCTCATACCTTAGCCTCCCAAGTAACCGGGATTATAGACATGGGCCACCTCGCCCGGCTAATTTTTTGTATTTTTAGTAGAAATGGGGTTTCACCATGTTGGCCAGGCTGGTCTTGAGCTCCTGGCATCAACTAATCCTTCTGCCGCACCCTCCCAAAGTGCTGGGATTACAAGCATGAGCCACCGCACCCAGCCTTTTATTTTTATTTATCTTTTTTTTTTTTTTTTGGTCACTCTTCTCACCCAGGCTGGAGTGCATTGGTGCAATCATGAGTCACTGCAGCCTTGTCCTCCTGGGCTCAAGTGACACCTCCGCCTCCGCTTGAGCTCAGCAGCTGAGATTACTGGTGCCCACCTCTAGGCCTGGCTAAATTTTTAAACTTCTTGTCGAGATGAGTCTTGCTATATTTCCCAGGCTGGTCTCAAACTCCTACACTCAAGTGATCCTCCCGCCTCAGACTTCCGAAGTCCTGGGATTACAGGCATGAGCCACTGTGCCAGGCCAAGGGGCTTTTTTTTTTTTTTTTTTTTTTTTGAGACAGGGTTTCACCCTTGTTGCCCAACCTGGAGTACAATGGTCCAGTCTCGGCTCACTGCAACCTCTCCCTCCAGGGTTCAAGCGATTCTCCTGCCTCAGCCTCCCAAGTAGCTGGGATTACACAGGCTTGCGCCACCTCGCCCAGCTAATTTTTGTATTTTTGTAGAGATGGGGGTTTCACCACGTTGGCCAGGCTGGTCTTGAACCCCTGACTTCAGTTGATCCACCCTCCTCTGCCTCCTAAAGTACTGGAATTACAGGCGTGAGTCACCACGCCCATCCCCTCCAGAGATCTTGAATATCTCCAGGGGAGGCCATTTGGTCAAGCTGTGGTCTTGGGTCAGGGGATGCTGGGAAGGACACCAGGAAAGACCTTGACTCCGCCCTCCTCTCATCTCCTGCCAGTGGTCCCTCTGACTGACTCCAGTGGAAAGAAGAGGGCCCAAGTGGATCAACCTTCCAGGATCAGGGTAGGGTGAAGGGTGGAGAGTCTTACACGCAGCCCCAGTAGGCATCATCTAATTTGCTGCTCCAACCTGCCAACCCACTGTCACTCCAACAGCCTGGAATCGCTGGGAATCTCCACCCCATTGCCTGTGGGCTGGGGCCGTCATGCTCCTCATCCCCAGCTCTGCCCAGGGGATGAGGCCCTATATCAGTCAGGAATCTCTGGTTTCGAGCAACAGGAACCAACTCAAGTTAACTGAATCTCAAAGCGGAATTACGAGAAGAATCTGGAGGAGTCTGCAGAACAGACAGGAATGAGGGACAGAGTGAGACCCTGTCTTATTTTTTGTTTTGTTTTGTTTTGTTTTTGAGACGGAGTCTCGCTCTGTCACCCAGGCTGGAGTGCAGTGGTGCCATCTTGGCTCACTGCAAGCTCCGCCTCCTGGGTTCACGCCATTCTCCTGCCTCAGCCTCCGGAGTACCTGGGACTACAGGCGCCCGCCACTGTGCCCAGCTAATTTTTTTGTATTTTTAGTAGAGACGGGGTTTCACCGTGTTAGCCAAGATGGTCTGGATCTCCTGACCTCATGATCCGCCTGCCTTGGCCTCCCAAAGTGCTGGGATCATAGGTGTGAGTCACTGCACCCGGCTGACCCTGTCTCATTTTTTGAAAAATAAATAAATCAAGCTGGCTAGGTGCAGAGGCTCATGCCTGTAATCCCAGCACTTTGGGAGGCTGAGGTGGGCAGATCATCTAAGGTCAGGAGCTCAAGACCAGCCTGGCCAACATGGTGAAACTGCGTCTCTACTGAAAATACCAAAATTAGCTGGGCATGGTGGCGTGCGCCTGTAATCCCACCTACTTGGAGACTGAGGCAGGAGAATCACTGGAACCCGGGAGGCGGAGGTTGCAGTGAGCTGAGATCATGCCACCAGGAGGCGGAGGTTGCAATGAGCTGAGATCGTGCCACCACACTCCAACCTGGGCGACAGAGCTAGGTTCTGTCTCCAAAAAAAGTAGACTGGAAGCCAGGTGGCTACAAAATCAAGTCCTCTTCAACATGCAACTTGTCCCTTCATGGGAGGGACATCAGGCACAGGAAGGGACGCTGAACTGCCCCTGTCAGATGGGTGGCACAAGCCACTTTTTTTTTTTTTTTTTTGAGACAGAGTCATGCTCTGTCACCCAGGCTGGAGTTCAGTGGCGCAATCATGGTTCACTGCAGCCTCCACCTCCCCGCCTCAAGCAATCCTCCCGCCTCAGCCTCCCGAGTTGCTGGGACCACAGGCTCAAGTCACCACACCCAGTTAATTATATACATATATGCTTTTTTTTTTTTTTTTTTTTTGGTAGAGATGGGGACTTGCTATGTTGCCCAGGACAGTCTGGAACTTCTGGGCTCCAATGATTCTCCTGCCTCGGTCTCCTAAAGTGCTGGGATTACAGGCATGAGCCGCTGCGCCTGGCCACAAGCCAGTTTTCCAGGTACATCTGTAGCTGAGAGGGTGACTCTCAGCACAGGGAAGTTAGAGCAGAGGGAGTGCCCTTCCGAGAGACAGCTACTTTCAGTCCCTGGTGCTACCTGGGTTTCCAGGACTTTCCCATGTCAGAAAGGTCCTGCTTGGCAGGGGTCACAGCTATGCATGGGCCACACCCCAAGGGCAGACAGACAACTGAACAGAAGCAGGCTCAGCCTGAGACTCTTTTATATACATGGTTTATTCCTCCCCAGCCCCAGACAAGCCCCAGGCACACACTGTCAGGGCATGGAGATGCCCACACCCCATCTCTCGGAAGCTGGGTCTCTGGAGATCGGGATAGGGAGAAGGGAGAAACCTTAGCAAGATGCAGCTCCCCCTTGGCCTCAGCCCCCCCAGAGAGGGGACAGAGAAGGAAAAAGGATGGCGACACAGGACTGGGGTTCAAATACTGAGAAAGCCACACAATAGAAGACAAAAAGTAGCAAGCCCCGGAGAAAGCGGGGACAAGGAAGAACCAGCGCCCAATCCCTCCCTCCTCCCAGCTGGGACACTGCGTCCCCAGGACTCTGTGGGGCAAGGGGTGGGACTGGGAAGAGAGGAAAGATTTGGGGGTGGAGGGGCTCAAGGCTGGACCCACCCTACCCTTGGACTCCTGGGCTCACGGCAAGTGAGGCCCAAGGGGCCCCTGCAGTTGGCAATGATGGGGCCAGCGGAGGCCTACAGCTTGGTCAGGTCCAGCTTCAGCTTGTAGGGTGGCGGGCTGTCCTCATAAGCGTGCGACGGCGGAGGGTACAGGGGCCAATCAGGCTCAATCATGAAGCCCTTGTGCTGCTCCAGGGTCAGAGGCTGCAGGAAGAGAGGGGAGGAGGGAAGTGGAGAGAAGCAGAGCAGCCAAGCCCCCGACCCTGACGAGTCTCCTTCCCACCTCTGATTTTTTTTATTTTTATTTTTTGAGAGCCTCTCTCTGTCGCCCAGGCTGGAGTGCAGTGGTGCCATCTCGGCTCACTGCAACCTCCGCCTCCCCGGTTCAAGGGATTCTCCTTTCTCAGCCTCCTGAGTAACTGGGACTACAGGTGCACGTCACCACGCCCAGCTAATTTTTGTATTATTAGTAGAGACAGGGTTTCACCATGTTGGCCAGGCTGGTCTCGAACTCCTGACCTGAAGTGATCTGCCCACTCAGCCTCCCAAAGTGCCGAGATTACAGGTGTGAGCCACCTGGACTGTGTTTGTGTGTGTGTGTGTGTGTGTGTGTGTGTGTGTGTGTGTGTGCGCGAGGGGTCTTGCTCTGTTGTCCAGGCTGGAGTGCAGTGGTGCCATCACAGCTCACTGCAGCTTCAAACTCTCAGGCTCAAGTGATCCTCCCATCTCAGCTTCCCAAGTAGCTGGGATCACAAACATGCACCTTCACGTCTAGCTAATTTTTTCTTTTCTTTTCTTTCTTTCTTTTTTTTTTTTTTTTTTTTTTTGAGACGGAGTCTCGCTCTGTCGCCCAGGGTGGAGTGCAGTGGCGCGATCTCGGCTCACTGCAAGCTCCGCCTCCCAGGTTCACACCATTCTCCTGCCTCAGCCTCCCAAGTAACTGGGACTACAGGCGCCCGTGACCACGCCCGGCTAATTTTTTTGTACTTTTAGTAGAGACGGGGTTTCACCATGTTAGCCAGGATGGTCTCAATCTCCTGACCTCAGGTGATTCGCCTGCCTCAGCCTCCCAAAGTGCTGGGATTACAGGCTTGAGCCACTGTGCCTGGCCACGTCTAGCTAATTTTTAAATTATTTGTAGTGACTAGGTTTCATTATGTTGCCCAGGCTCTGGGCACCACAGAGGTGTCACCAACATACCTGGGCACCACAGAGGTGAGGCCCACACCACAGAAGTGTGGCCACCTCTGACTTCCTGTCTCCCCAACTAAGAGTGGATGTTCTGCTGGGTGCGGTGGCTCATGCCTGTAATCCCAGCACTTTGGGAGGCCGAGGTGGGAGGATCACAAGGTCAAGAGATCGAGACCATCCTGGCCAACATGGTGAAACCCCATCTCTACTAAAAATACAAAAATTAGCCAGGCATGGTGGCTTGCGCCTCTAGTCCTCGGGAGGCTGAGACAGGAGAATTGCTTGAACCCAGGAGGCAGAGGTTGCAGTAAGCCGAGATTGTGCCACCGCACTCTAGCCTGGTGACAAGAGAGAGACTCCATCTCAAAAAAAAAAAAAAAAAAAGAGAAGAAGAGTGGATGTTCTTCCGCCAATTCAAAGGGCAGTGAAGAAACTGGCTCCAGGTCATGCAGCAAGTCTGAGGTCCTGGCTGGGTGAGTTGGCTCATGCCTGTCATCCTGGCACTTTGGAAGGGCAAGGCGAGTGGATCGCTTGAGCCCAGGAGTTCGAGACCAGCCTGGGCAACACAGTCCCGATCTCTACAAAAAATACAAAAATTAGTGGGGTATGGTGGCAAGTGCCTATGGTCCCAGCTACTCAGGAGGCTGAGGCAGGAGAATCTCTTGAGCCAGGGAGGCCGAGGCTGCAGTGAGCTGTGATTGCACCACTGCACTCTATCCTGGGTGAAAGAGTGAGATCCTGTCTTAAATATATATATATGTGTGTGTGTGTATATATATATGTATATGTATATGTGTGTGTGTGTATATATATGTATATGTATATGTGTGTGTGTATATATATGTATATGTATATATATATATGTAGGCTGGGCATGGTGGCTCACATCTGTAATCCCAGCACTTTGGGAGGCTGAGGCGGATGGATCACCTGAGGTCAGGAGCCCAAGACCAGCCTGGCCAACATGGCGAAACCCCATCTCTACTAAAAATACAAAAATTAGCTGGGCATGGTGGCCCACACCTGTAATCCCAGCTACTGGGGAGGCTGAGGCAGCAGAATTGCTTGAACCCGGGAGGTGGGGGTTGCAGTGAGCCGAGATGGTGCCATTGCACTCCAGTCTGGGCGACAGAGCTAGACTCTGTCTCAAAATGTACATATATATATGAAAAAAAGAAAAAAACAGTCTGAGGTCCTGGTGTCTGTGGGAGCAGGTGGCTAAAGCCAGGGCCAGCAAGCAGCTCTCTCTGCCTCCATCCCCTCCCTCAGCCCAGTGCCATTCACAGATCCCACCCACCTGGAACTTGAGGTGCTGGCCAGGCGCGGTCACCAGGGTGGAGCAGCTCAGCCACAGCATAACCAGCACGGAGAGGAAGAGGCAGCAGGCCAGGATCCAGCGAGGCAGACCCGAGCGCCTGCCCCGCCCGGCAGGCACCACTCAGCTGCCCGGGCTGGGGCCAGGGAGACCCGCACCTCCAGTCCCACCCCCCTCCCACCCCCAGGGTCCTGCCACCCACCGGGACATGCAACTGAGGAAGTCATTGTCCTGCGGCTCTTCAGACTCCACCTTGGCCTTGCTGCTGGTCTTGACTCGGATCTTGGCCTTCCTCACCTTGTCCAGGGGGCCTACAGGGTCTGAGAGATCAGCTACCACTCAGCGACCACCAGGTCTTTGCCAAGCAGCCACAATAACCATGACCAGGAGGGAGGAGGTCAGGACCTGAGTCATGGAGTCCTGGAATAGAGATCAGAGCCCTGGGAGATGGACCACAGAATGCTGAGAGAGGGACCATGGAACCCTGGGAGATGGACTGCAGAACCCTGGGAGATGAACTGCAGAATCCTAGGGGATGAACCATGGAACCCTGAGAGATGAACCCATGAAACCCTGGGATATGGACCCTAAGAGATGACCCTAGGAGATGAATCCATGGAACCCTGGGAGGTAGACCATGGGTCCCTGGGAGATGGACCATGGAACCCTGGGAGGTGGACCATGGAACCCTGGGAGGTGGACCATGGATCCCTGGTAGATGGACCACGGAACCCAGGGAAATGGGCCATGGAACCTGGGGAGATGGGCCACGGAACTTTGGGAGGTGGACCATGGAATCCTGGGAGGTGGACCCCGGAACCCTGGGAGATGGACCATGGAACCCTGGGAGATGGGCCGTGGAGCCCTGGGGGATGAGCCATAGAACCCAGGACTTGAGAGATGGAGATCCCAATCCTAGAGGGTCTGTTTGCCAGGCAGACTCCTTGTGGCAGTGGGGTCACCCATGGAAGGAACACTGGTCTGGGTTGCACCTTACCCACGTGCACCTCCAGGGCTTCAGGGTGGGAGCCTCGCCAGGTCACCTCCACGCGCTGCAGACGGCCCCCCTGGAAGCCGAGGCTCTCCACTACGGGCTGGGTCTGGGCCAGACACAAGACAGCACAGAGAGGCCTGTGAGAACAGCATTCCTGGGCCCAGGCAGGCCCTCTGTGACTGCCATGTCCCACGCCCAGCTGATACCCAGTTCTCCTGGGGAGACAGTAGGGAGGACACCATCCCATGCGCTGTGGGCTTGATGTCAGGAATGTTGTTTTCTGCTTTCATGGACTCCTCCATTTGCCTTAACCCCATCCTTTAGCTCTGGAAGTAGAAACATGATCCAGACCAAGCCAGTGGATTGCCTGAGAGATGGTCATATGATCCATCCAGGGCCAATCAGAGTAAATCCCAGCTCAGTTAAAACCCCAGATGGGGCTGGGCACAGTGGCTCACGCCTGTAATCCCAGTGCTTTGGGAGGCTGAGGCGGATGAATCACCTGAGGTCAGGAGTTCGAGACCAGCCTGACCAACACGGCAGAAACCCATCTCTATTAAAAATACAAAAATTGGCCGGGCGCGGTGGCTCAAGCCTGTAATCCCAGCACTTTGGGAGGCCGAGACGGGCGGATCACGAGGTCAGGAGATCGAGACCATCCTGGCTAACACGGTGAAACCCCGTCTCTATTAAGAAATACAAAAAACTAGCCGGGCGAGGTGGCAGGCGCCTGTAGTCCCAGCTACTCGGGAGGCTGAGGCCGGAGAATGGCGTAAACCCGGGAGGCAGAGCTTGCAGTGAGCTGAGATCCGGCCACTGCACTCCAACCTGGGTGACAGAGCGAGACTCCGTCTCAAAAAAAAAAAAAAACAAAAAAAACAAAAATTAGGCAGGTGTAGTGGTGGCCACTGGTAATCCCAGCTACTCGGGAGGCTGAGGCAGGAGGCTGAGGCAGGAGAATCACTTGAACTTGGGAGGCAGAGGTTGCAGTGAGCTGAAATCATGCCATTGCACTCCAGCCTGGGCAACAAGAATGAGACTCCATTTCAAAAAAAAAAAAAAAACCCAAAGTGTTTATGACCTAGAGCCTCTGGCATCCACCTTACTGCCAAGAGGAAGTAAATGCCTGGGAATGAAGCCACCACAGAAGAAAGCAGAGTCAAGGCATGGAGTGAGACACTGAGCCCCTGGATCCAGCTGTGCCTGAAGCTTGCCCACTGTGGACTTTGCATCTCATGAGCCAAGAGCAAATGCATCCCAGCTTCTTATCCTGCCCACCCATCTGCCACTGTGGCATGGCCCCTGTCAGGGGTCTCACCTGAAACACCACCACCTTCCCATTGTCAGTCTGCAAGTAGTATGTCCAGGTGGAGGAGACAAATCCCTGGGCTGAGTTGACGAGGTCATTGCAGAGGGTGGAAAACAAGTCCAAGAGGGAGAGGGCCCCACTTGGAGCCTCCAGGACCGTTCTCTGATGAAAAAAGGTCCAAGACACAAAGATGGCACCAAAATAGGGTATTAAATAATGAATGGGAGGGGGCAGGGTGTGGTGGCTCACGCCTATAATTCCCAGCACTTTGGAAGGCCAAGGCAGGCAGATCACCTGAGGCCAGAAGTTCGAGACCAGCCTGGACAACATGGCGAAACCCTGTCTCTACTAAAAGTACAAAAATTAGCCAGGCATGATGGTGCACACCTGAAATCTCAGCTACCCGGGAGGCTGAGGCATGAGATTTACTTGAATCCGGGAGGCAGAGGTTGCAGTAAGCCAAGATCATACCACTGAACCCTAGCCTGGGTGAAACAGTGAGACTCCATCTCAAATAAATAAATGAATAAATAAACTAATAGGAGGGGAGCTGGGAGAATTCACTTGTTTTGGATGTGGCTAAGTGATTTGAGCCAATTGGACTTCTTACAGTGAACACAGATCTCAGCGTGGCAGTTGGCTTCCTGTGTACCCTTAGGGAAGTGGATTGTGCTCTCTGAGCCCTAAAATGTGTACCATTCTCTTCCCTCATGGAGTAGCCATGAAATTTCAACTAGAGGATGCCTGCCAAGTGCCTGGCACAGCACAGGCACTTAATGCGTAGTAGTCCCTATTACTAAAAATATCATCATCCTCATTATTCTTATTTTGACAGAGTCAAGACAGAGCTCTAATGGCCAGGCATGGTGGCTCACGCCTGTAATCCCAGCACTTTGGAAGGCCAACGTGGGAAGATCACTTGAGGTCAGGAGTTCAAGATCAGCCTGGCCAACATGATGAAACCCTGTCTCTACTAAAAATACAAAAATTAGCCGATTGTAGTGGTGGGTGCCTGTAATCTCAGCTGCAAAGGAGGCTGAGTCAGGAGAACCACATGAACCAGGGAGGCGGAGGCTGCAGTGAGCCGAGATTGTGCCACTGCACTCCAGGCTGGGCAACAGAGCAAGACTTCATCTCGAAACGAAACACAAAACAAAACAAAATGAAAAAGAGGGAGCTCTGAATTGGAAGGGCTGACAGTGCAGTGAGCTTTTCTGAACAGCAGTGAAAGCTGGGAAGGGGTGGAGGAAAAATGGGAGAAGTGGTGAGAGGGCTTTCTGCAGAGTCCCAGCCCCCAGGTCTCTGGCTATGCTACATGACTTTCTGTGCCTCAGTTTCCCCTGATGCAGCATTGCTTGGACTACATAGACGAGCTGTTTTTACTTCTCCCACAAGGCAGCGTGTGCGTGCTCGCAAGGCAAGGCTGCTCCACTCTGAATCGCAGTTCTGAGCCCCTCCAGGTGACAGTGACCACCAGCTAATCACAGGGGAAGGGGGTGCCTAAGATGAGTGAGGTGAGGAGTGGCCACAGCCCTGGTGGCTTCAAATCTCACCCCTTGCACAGCCCTGTGTATGACCTGGGAGGTTGCCCCCTGGACACTAAATGGGGGTGACATTGTCCCTGGTGTCTCCGAGTGACACAAAGACATTTGGGACAGGTTGAAGTCAGGCTCAAACCAGGACAGATATTTGATAAACGGTGGCTGTTTTCTGCCACTTATTCCTCAAAAGGTGGTGGGGCATGGGGGGCACTGTTGCATGTCACAGAGATGACAACTAAGGCTGGAGACATGACGGGGCTGGATGGGGGTTGCCCGGCAGGCCTGGCAAAGAACGCAGAGTATGGCAGAGTCTGGCAGAGTCTGGCAGAGTCTCTGCATTCGAATGAAGATTTTCCATGGGGTCAAGCGGGGGAAGTATTGGGAAAGGGGACCCAGGCGCAGTCGGAGGCCCACCTTCTGCTCCGGCTCAGGCTCCGCAGGCTGGCTCCAGCAGCCATGGCTACAGGCCTGCTGCTCTGCCTCCTTCACATAGGCTTCCACGCAGGCTGTGGGAAGTGGGAGGGGGTGACTGGGGACGGCCCTTCCCAGGTCACCTCTTCCCACCCTGGTACACCCTGCCGGCGGGCCCTCACCTGCTTCACACTCAGTTTGGGTGGCATTAGGCTTGGAGCTCCTGGCCACGAATCGGCAGATGGAGAAGAGGCGGCAGCCACGCTCGCAAGCGCTGATCAGAACAGCTCTGTCATAGGGAGACTCGGAGGCGCCCTCCAGCCCCGCCTGGGGGAGGGTGGGACACGGAGCTCAAGTCATGGGGAGGGGCGGGAGGAGGGTGGGGGGACCGGAGCATTCAGGGGAGGCAGGCGAAGGCTTTCCCGCTCCCCACCAAATCTAGCCAGATGGAGATGAAGTTGGGAGAGGCTACAAATATTAGTGGGGGCTCTTAGCTCTGAGGAGGGAGATGGGGAGGGAGCTTGAGAAGAGAACTGGACAGTGAAGGTGGATAGAAATGAGCCTTCCCCCAACTAGGCTCCAGGGAGGAGGGGAGAGATGGAGAAGGATTCTCAGACCTGGAGGAGGAGGGGGAGGCTCAGAGGAGGGGGTTTTGGTCACACTCAGATCAGGCTTGAATCCTGGGGAGTGGTGGTATGAGCAGGGGCTGTAGCTCTGAGTGGGGAGGGAAGACGATGTGGGGGAGGAGTGAGGTGGGGGGACCGTCAGGCCTGAGGGAGCTGGGGGTTGGGTGCTGGAGGGTCCTTACGCAGCAGAGTGCGGAGGGAGCCCAGGAGGTGGTATCAGCCCCTTATCGCAAGGACCTGCATCCCCAAGCCCTTCCCCATCAGAGGGCACCCCATCCCGTCCTCCACTGGAGGAATCTCCGCATTCCCGACCCCTACCTCCCCAGGGATACCCCACCACCACCAAAGTCTCCTGCTGTCATCCAAGATAAGCCCATCCCAACGCCTCCCCCTTCAGAGAGATCACGCGTCCCCCGCTGGCACCTGGCACCGCACGCGCCTCACCTGCGAGGGCCGCGGGCCGAGGTCGCGGTCGCGGCACCGCAGCTGGCAGTTCTGCGTGTCCCCGAGCTGGGGGGCGAAGGGATCGCGGGCGGACGGCGCGGAGGCGGCGGGCGGCGATGCTAACAGCAGCAGCAGCAGCAGCGGCAGTGGCATCAGTGCCACCGCAGCCATGGCCGGGCGGAACGCGGGGGGTGCGGGGGACTCCGGCTCAGGCCGGGCACGGAGGATGCAGCGGCTGCGGCGGGGACCGGGGCGCTGACGTCACCCGAGCGAGGCAGCCTGGGAACGGGGGGGTGGGAGATGCGGAGAGCGGGCGGGGGAGCTGAGCTGCGGCACCCGCGGCGTGCGGGTCGGGCAGGACAGGTGCATCACGGCCCCCACCGTCTATCCGATCGCGGGGATCCCAGGACACCTCCCTGGTGCCCACGGGCGGGGGATCTCTGCTGGCGCTTGGTGCCAAAAGGAAATATATAGGGGGATGGGATCGAGGGGGCTATTCGCCAGGGATGTCGAGGAGAGCGGAAAGCCCGGAGGAGAAGGAGATGTGTGCGCCTACCACGCGGGAAAGAGGAGAAAGGGGTGTCCGGGCTACAAGGGTCAGCGAGGGTCCTGAGGCGAAGAGCTTGTTGCAGGAGGAGGGAGGGCGATGGGGCTGGAGTCCAACCAGGGAACGGAGAGGGAGAAAGGTGAGGGTCGCAGGACCCGGCAGCTGAGGCCTGGCATCTTCTCCTTTGACACCCAGGTTAGAAAGGAGACAACTTGTGCGCAGTTTGACTCCTCTGGGAAGCCCTCTGAGCCCCTCCCTTGCTCCTTCAGCGTCGCCTGCCTCTGGCCCAGCCCTGATCCACTGACCAAGGGGATCTGTCCCTATCTCCCCAAGGCTGGAGACCCCTGGGCTGGGGCTTAGTGGGAGGGGACACAGAGGTACGCTCAGGAGCAAGGGGAGGGGGAGATGCTAACATTTCTAATTCTCGTGGGAAAACGGGGCAAATAGCGACACTTCTGACTTCCATAACCACCACACCCCAGGGCGATGGACTGTAGCCCCAGGAGCCGAATCTCGGGTTAGGGGGTACCCCCAGCTTCCTTTCCGCCAGGCATGGGAGTGGGGACGCCCCTCTAAACCCGGATCCTCTGCAAAGATGCCGCCGCTTTCGCTGGCATGCCTGGCGCAGGTGCCTGTAGAGCCGCGCAGCCGCCCGCGGGTCCCCCACCTACGCTCCGCCCCTGCAGACCGGGCGACAGCCTCGTAGGGTCGGCGGGTCAGAGGGCGGCTCAGGTTCCGGCCCCGGAGGAGGGTGTCCCTGGTGGGGGCCTGGCGCACCCCCTCCCCCGGCCTGCGGCCGAGCTTTCATCTCAGCTGCCCCGGGCCGGCCCCCACGTGGCTTAATCAGGCGCGGCTGTGCCTGGCGGACCCCGAACATCTGGATCCCGGTGCGGCCCCTCCCCCGCCCCGCCCCGCCCCTCCCCGCCCCTCCCCTCCCATGCTAGGCCGCTGCGACCAGGCGGCTAGGGCCTCCAGCCCGCAGTTTGCGCCAGAATCCAGCAGAATTCCGCTTCTAACCCACCCGCGCGCCAGGTCCGCACCTTGGGAAACAGCCCTGTGTGTTGTGACCAATACTGTCCCCCATTTCACAGGTGGGAAACTTAGGCTCCGGGACGCGTTGGCAAAGACAGCATTCAAGCCCACACATGTTAATTCCAGAGGCCCGCGTGCGCCTAACCCCTCCACAATTACTGTCCTTCATTCATTCCAACAAAACACTTTTTCCTGCAACAACCTTATAAGATAGGTACCAGCAGCGTTGCCCTTTTATACGGGTGAGGAAACACGCTCAGACTGCAAAGTGGTTCTGTCCAGGTGACAGGGAGAGAAGCAAAGAAAAGCCAGCAGAGCCCTGCCAATGATGGGAGGGGACCTTTGGGCATAAGAGGCATTGCTTAAAGCGCATCAGGGAGGAGGGACACCCCCGCGCCCTTTTGCAGAAGGAGAAACTGAGGCTGGAGGAGTGGGTCGATCACCCAGGTCGCCCGAGGGGAGAAGGGAAAGAGGCTGATTGCAGCCCACCCAGCCCCCTTTCCGCTGCACTAGGCCGCTGGGGGGGTTGAGCGGAAAGAGGACTTGACCCCGGCCCCCAAGGTGAGCCCCCGCGCCCCTCCTGCTGTTCCCGGGGGAGCCGGTCCAGGTGAGGGGCGGGCGGGCCGGCGGGCGGCCAGGGTCGGGTTTCAGGAAATCCGCCGACATTCCTTCGGGGCTTAAGAGGGAAAGTTGACTCGGCGCCGCCCTCGCCCCCCCCCCACTTCCTACCCCCCGGGGCGGCCTGGCCCGGGGCGGCAGGCGGGGGGCGCTGAGGCCGGCCTGGGCGTGAATCAGCGGCAGGCCAGGCGTCCGGGAAGCCACAGCAGCCGAGGTCAAGGCAGGCAGCGGACAAGCGCCCTTTGTCCCTTGCCGCCCTCACCACGACCCTGCTGACCCCCACCTCCAAGCAGGGTGCAGGCTGGGGAGGAGGCAGGGTACCATGGCGCCGGTGGTTGTTGCTGAGGGTTGTTGGGGGAGGAAGGAGGGATGTGGCTGCCCCCCTAAAGCAGCTGGTGCCTCCTGGGATCCAGACTTCAGAGGCTTCTCAGGGTACAGATGGGCAGGGAACCTGGCCTCCCTGGGGCAGGTCTGCAACTTTCCAGGCAGATCCCCTAGGCAGGTCCGCAACTCCCCAGGCCCCGCCTCCAGTTCCTGAAGTCCAGAGTGCATTAAACTGAGGACCCAGGCATCCCTTCTCTCCAGGCTCAGCCTCCAGGGCAGAAATTATAAAGCCTAGGGTACACACAGGCCCTACTTTCCTATGCCACAGACCCTGAACCAGGTGTCCAGACCCTCACTGCTCCTTAATTCCTGAAAGCACCTGCCTGGAACACCAGGCAGCTAGTCCCATACTGGGGGGGCGGGGGGGTCCTGAGCACGGGGCTCTCAGAACGGGAGAGGCAGCTCTCAGCCTTGCTCCCTCCCAGTGCTTGTGGGTCCCCACAGGACCCTGAAGGTGCCGCTTCCACTGCCCCCTCCCTGGTGCACCCTCAGTGCCCTGGAATCACGAGGGAGCTGGGGATGGAGGCCCCCCCAACCTGATACCTCTAATCCAGAAGTGACGTTTTTGAGTGGAGGGTGCAGGACTAAGGAGGGGTCCCTCCCCCACCCCAAGGGGAGGACCTCCCTCTGCCCGAGGGGAGGCCCTCCCTCCATCTGCCCCTTATACGTTCCCAGCCAACTTCAAGGACTTGGGTCAATATTTGTCAGAAGTTCGGTTGACGCTAGCTCCCTTTGTCGTCAAGGAGATGATGGAACTGGGGAGGAATGGGTTAAACCTCTGGGGGCCCTAAGGGCACTCTGGGGTCAACTCCCTTTCCCTGAAGTCAAAGGTGTGGGGTAAAGTTCACCCAAGTACAAAGGTCACACTCCAGGGTGGGGCTGGGCAGGATTGGAAAATGGTCCCTCCCTTTCTATGGGTAAGAACAAGTGAGGGATGTCTACTGGCTAGGGTCACACAGCAAGACAGAGAGTGTGTTCCAGGCTTGGACCCCAGGCAGCATGACTTGCTGGGACTGAGTTTTCTTGCTACTTGGAGGGACTAAGTTCTCCATCCTCTGCTTTTGCAAATATTTAGTGAGTGCTTTGCTTTCAGCCCCCACTGGGCCCACCATGGGGTCCAAAGGGGCTGAGGCCGCCCACAGTCTAAAGAAAATCAGTTGCACAAGAAATGAAATGGTTGGAAGAGTTGTGTTTCAAAAACAATAAAACAAAGTGAAGGAGAGGGAGAGTGCTGGGGGAAGGGTGGAGGGCCTCTCTGAGGAGGTGGTACTGGACCTGTGACCTGATGGAGGAGAAGGAGCTAACTGGGGAACCTGTGGGGAACAGCATTCCAGCAGAGGGAACAGCCAATACGCAGAAGCCGTTCGATAGTAACAAGCCTGGTATGTTTGGGGAAACAGGGCTCCAATGGCTGGGGCGGAATGAGGGAGAGGAGGGGGAAGAGGAGAGGAAAGAAGAGGAGGAGAGAGAATGGCGAGAGGGTGGCAGGGCAAAGATCTGCTTTTTCTGCTTTTCAAAGCTCCCTTTGCCTGGTGTGCAGAGAAAGGCAGAAGGGTTATCAGAGAAGCCCCGGAGGAGGCCGGGAAGCATCCCTGAGGGAGACCGTGGGGCCTGGATCTGAATGGGGTGGGGAGAAGGGGTCGGAGTCTCAGAATGGAGATGTGTTTTGGAATCAGAGCCAACAGGATTTGCTGATGAATTGGACGTGAGGGATGAGCGAAGGAGAGAGTTGTCACGTGCACTTCCAGGTCTCTGGCCTGAGCACCTGGATGGATGGGGGAGCCCTTTCCCAAAACCGAAATGACTGGAAGAGAAGTAGAAATGGAGGGGGGAATAAAATCAAGGTTTTGCTCCAGAAGCCTGAAATCCTCCCAGAAGGGGGTGAGGCGTCTCTTCCGGGAAGGGGGTGAGAGCATCTGCAAACACGAGCCCTGGGGGAGTAGTGGTGAGTATCCTAAAAACTCAATTCCAGCCAACAACTGCCACCTCCACTTAACCCTCTAGGTCCCCTGGCAGGTAGGACTATGGCTCCATGTTTCAGAGGGGACAAGCAGGCCTGGGGGTCACCTCTGCTCCAGGAGATCCTCCAGTGCTGTGCTAAGGGCTTGGATTGTACAGACTTCTGCTGCCTTGCGTCTTCCCACGGAAGCTCTTAGGCTGGGTGGTGCCCATTGTGCAGAGGAAGAAACTGAGGCACAAAAGGCCTGGTTTTCCAAAGTAAATGGCAGCGCCTCACCTTGTCTCTCTTCTCCATCCAGAGTTCAGATGGGGCAGTGGCGCCCTGGGCCCGTATGGGCTCCCCTCCCCCAATCTTGTTTTTTGATAGTCTGGAGTCTGAACTGGAGATTTAAGTAGAAGAGGGTGGGGCTTCAGTATTGGGCAGAACAATGGGGGCTCCTGAGCTCCCCGAGACACTTTTGCCCCCTTGACTGGTTGGGGACCTGGGGAAAGAATCCAGGCCTCTAAGGGACTCCTGGAAAAGGGGACTTGGAGCCGTTCCGTTCCCTGGGCGCTGCAGCTGGGGGCGGGGCTGCGACCCAAAGTGGGTAATTGCACCCTCCAACTCTCATTTCAGGCACCCCCATCCGCAGCAGCCTTGGAGGCCAGGAACCCTTTATTCCTGGGCGCCCGCATGGGGTGGGGACCGGGAGGAGGGAGATGAGACGCCCGGGCCGGGAGGGGTCCCGAAACTCGAGCAATGGCCAAAAATAATAACACGGAGAAGGCTCTTTGCGCAAAAGAAGGAAGACAAACTGCGTCGCTCCGGGCAGCCGGCGTTACCTGGAGTCGGCGGGCGGCGGCCGCCGGAGCGATTACTCACCGCGTGGCGCACCCCACCCGCGGGCCGCTGAGTGGATTTTTCCGTGGCGGGGTGTGAATAGGTCCCGGGGGGAGAGCTTCTTACCGCTCTCCTCCTGGGAATCCCTACTACTGCGGTGCGGGACCCAGTTCCCGCGCAGGCCTGGGTCCCCGCACCCACAGGGGACTACATCTCCCCGTCTGCCCACGCAGGAGCTCCCTCCCGAGGCCCCCGGGGCGCCCAGAGCAACCTCAAACCCATCCCGCGCGCGAGGGGGACAGCGCAGCCAGGGAGAAGGCGAAGGACTCCGTGCCTTCCTGCTTTTTCTCCTTTCTTCCAGCAAAGCCTGGGGCCGAGGCTACTCGCGGAGAATCGAAAAGAGGAAGGATGAGGTGGGAGGGCTGGGACCCGCGCGCCGAGGGCGTGGGGCTGGGGGTGACTTTTAGGCCCCTGGGAAGGCAGAGGGGCTGGAGATGGGGGTAGGCGGGACTCAGGGACCGCTCGGTGGGGGGGCGGGGCCAGAGCTGGGGTGGGGGCCGAGACAGAAGATTGGGCGGTGGAGGGGGGAATGGAGGAGCTGGGGACCAAAGGGGCCACTAAAGAGGCACTGGGCTGAGAGGAGGGTGCAGGGAAGTGGGCAGGGTTATGGAAACGGGATTGCGGGTGCCGGGTCCCAGACTGGGGGTGGGAAGCCTGGAGCTGGCAGGGTTGGAGAGGGAGGTCCTGGGCCGGTAGGGGTTGAGTAAGTGGGCTCTGGGCCGCGGGATAGGGCGCGCGCGGTTCTCAGAGGGGCGGAGGCCGGACGGGCGGGGCGCGCGGTGCCCGCGGGCTGGCGGGCGGCGGGGAGGCCGGTGCGGGGCCCGCCGCCCCCCCGGGGCCGGGCCGGGCCGGGGGCGGGGCCGGGCGGGGCCAGCGGCGCATTAGCGCCTTGTCAATTCGGCTGCTCAGACTTGCTCCGGCCTCCGCGTCCGCGCCCAGCGACGTGCGGGCGGCCTGGCCCGCGCCCTCCCGCGCCCGGCCTGCGTCCCGCGCCCTGCGCCGCCGCCGCCGAGCCGCCGCCCACCGCGCGCCCCCGGCAGCGCCGGCCCCATGCCCGCCGGCCGCCGGGGCCCCGCCGCCCAATCCGCGCGGCGGCCGCCGCCGTTGCTGCCCCTGCTGCTGCTCTGCGTCCTCGGGGCGCCGCAAGCCGGATCAGGAGCCCGTGAGTACCCTGCGCCCCGCTCCTTCCCCCCTGCCAGAGCAGAGGGCGGGCGCCCCGGGGGCAGCCGCGGGGGGAGGGGGCGCGGGCGCCACCTGGACGGCCGGGGAACAAAGGAAGGCGCCCCCGGCGCAGCCCTCGGGGCGCCCTCACCTGCGGGGCACACGGCGCCGCAGCCCACTGCCCAGAGAGTCCTGCTTCCGCGCCCGAGGCCCTGTTACCTGAGCAACTGGGCCGAGGGCTCCAGGCCAGGCCCCCGGGGGCTGGGAAGATCGCGGCCTGAGACCCTCTGCACGCCAGGACGTGGCGGGCGCACGCGTCTGCTTCGGTAGACTCTGAGCCGCTGGGACTGCAGGGCACCGCTCCCAGGCGGGGGCGCACGCGGTTGGCGCGCTGGGTGCGGGCCCCCAGCGGGCCCCCCCAGGCGGAGGGATGAGCCCCACGGGGAGGGCGGGGCTGCAGGGGGGCCGCTCTGGCCGCCTGGCGCGCAGCCCGGGGTCCCCGGGGACTTGCCTCTCCACGGGCCGGCGCCACCGCCCTCCCCCTGCGGGACCCGGTGCACGGGGGTCCGCGGAGTCCCCGCCACCGGCGGCGCTTAGAACTGTTTTCGGCCAGGCTGTGTCGGGCAGAGAACCTCCAGCGAGAGGAATCTTTGTGAGAGAGTGGGTGAGAGGGAGAGGGAGCGGGAGCCAGTGAGTCCGGGCACCGGCGGGCCCAAACTTTGAGGGGGCCCACTGGGAATCCGCTGCCCTACGGGCCAAGACCCCCGCCCTGGAGGGACTTCTGGCCTCAGGCACTCTGGGGCCCCCCATCCAAGGAACACCCCCGCAAGGATACGTCTCCATATCCAGACCCGCTCTGGGACACACCCAGAGACACACAAAGAATCACACTGGCTTGTGGCCCGTCACCCTCGCCCTCAAACTCGCGCACACTGCATCCCAGATGCACATTCGCACACCATCGCGGACGCACACATTCCATCCCCGACACACACTTTCATGGTCACACACATCCCACAGGGGAGGCGACCCAGGGGCACAGAGGCAGGCACCACTCGCCCCAGACGTTCAGTCACTCCACGCACCCCATCCAGGCGCACAGGCCACCCCGGGGGTCGCCGGGCACACACGGCTCCCAGGCTCACCCATCCTGTGCTGGGCTGTGTGCGGGCTGCCTGTAGGGCTCCTCCAGGAAGGGGCAGAGTGCGGGCATCCTCTAGGAGCACTTGCTGAAAGCCTAGAGGGGCTACCTCGGGCCCTCCCAGGGCCCCTGACGGCTCTGCCAGGCGGTGGGCAGCGCCTGTGAGTGCCACTGTGAGCGCCAAGCTTTGTTTTCAGCCAGTAGAGCAGCAGGCAAAGGTGTGTGGGGGTGGGGGGGGGGTGTTGTAAGTGTGTTTTTTTTCCTTTAAGGGGGGAAGAAATTAAATAAAAGATTCTCACACCTCAGCAATATGTTTCTACTTACGGTGTGTCTTAGCACCTGACCAGCAGGCGGGTGGGTCGTAAAGTGTCTGCAGGTACCAGCAGGACGGGAGATGGGGACCCCCGTGGGGACCCTGGGATGGAGGCCACCCTTCCTCCCCGGTTGCAGAGAATCTCACACTTTTCCCTTTTAAAACACATGGTGTTCCTTTTTAATAACGGCAGTGGCTCCAGATTGGGAAAAGAGGAGAGAAAAAACTTTTAAAGGCCCCAGCTCTGCGGGAAAGGAGGGGAGGCAGGGAGTGAAAAGGGGGCTGTTGAAAAGCCAACCTAGGGATCTGCTTTGGGGAGCCCTCTAGGAGGCCCTCCAAACCAAGCCAAGCCCCCACCAACTCCAGCTCAGTGGGCTGTTCCCAGCTGCTCCCCCGCCTGGCCTGGAATGCGTGCGTCCCTGTCCCCAGTGCCTTAGCCCATTGTTTGTGGAGGCCTGGAGGGAGTGCCTAGTCTGCCGGGACCCCAGAGCTGGGAGGGGCTGTCGTCTTTGTGGTTCCTGGGGGCTGCAGGCTTCTAAGCCCTCTGGACATTCGATTGCAATCACATCTCATTGATCTCTCCAGCAAGTAGAATGTATTTCTCCTCCCATTTCATGGAGGAGAAAATTGAGAACTGGAGAGGGGAAGTCAATTGCCCAGGTTCTCCCACTGGGGTTGCACCCATATCCTGGGAGGAGAAAGTGTCCTTCTGACCTTCCCGGCTGGGGCTAAGAGGGTGGGAGACTGGCCTGTCCAGGCCCGCCTGGCCTTGCCTTCCCCCCCACAACCCGTCACCGCTCAGTGTCCCCCGCCCAGCCCCGGGAGGGCAGCTGCAGCTGCTGGCAAGTGAGCCACGCCAGCCCAGGCCAGGCGGGTGTGGCAGAGGGGCAGTGCCCCCCAGCCAGGACCCCCCAGAGAGCCCCTTCCTGGCCAGGCCATGGTGGCGGGCGTGGAGGCCGGAGGGGCGAGTCCCACTCTACGAGGGCTGAGAGGGGCCTGGGGTCTGGGCAGGCCTGGCCGTGCCTCCCACTTTGTTGGGGGGGCCCAGGCAGGAAGCGGTGGGTGGGCCAGGGCAGAGACGCTGGCACGCCCGAGTTCATGCAGAAGGAATTCCGAATTAGCGGGCGGCTGGCTGCCTGGGACCTCCAGGGCGGCCCCCTGGCCCCCAGCCCCCCGCCCCCCTCGGCCGCCCCCGCCTCCTCGACTCTGGCCCGCTCAGCCGGCTCCTTCGCACGGACGCGGAGACCTCCGGCGAGCCCTGGGCCAAGCCCCAAGCGCAACTGCGATTCCAGGCTCCAGCAAGACAGAGCCCTCGAGCCAAGTTTGCCCCGGAAAATCATCAGGGCCGTCCCAAGAACCGTGTCCACCCCACCTCGCCCATCTGGGGCAGTGAGGGCAAGTGCCGGGCAGCGCTGGCATTCAGGGGACCTCCTGGGGGGCCGAGATCACCCTGTCCTTGGCTGCCATCTCTGCGAAGCTGGGCTGCCCTTGCCTCCTGCAGTCCCTTCTTCCAGCCGCCTGGGGAGTCCTTTTAATGCAAATCTCACCGCATCCCTCCCTCCCCGGCTGAGAACCCTGGAATCCCTCCTCCCTGCAGGTCAGGATCTCGGACCTCTCAAACTTCATTTCCCACGGCTTCTGCCCCAGGACCTTGGCACTTGCAGCTCCCACTGCCTGGACATGCTCTGTTAGATAATGTCACAGCTACTTCTCTTACTTTATTCAGGTGTCTACTCAAAGGTCACCTCCCCAGACAGGCCTCCGGAGCTCCTGCCGCTGCTCTGTCTTCCTCCAGCTCCTGCTTTACTTTCTCCCCTATTTATTGTCTTAGATATTTATTTATTTATTTATTTATTTTTCCTGCTGCTTCCTTGGATTTGATGCCCACAAGGGCAGGACTTTTGTGTGTCTTGGTCATCATCCCAGTGCCCACAGATCCTGACACACTGTAGGTACCCTGTGAAAGAACAGATGAACGCATGAGCGAACAAAGGAGTGGATGAGTCTTTACAACCACTCTGGGTGGAAGGAGAAGCCCCTTTCCAGAGGCTCAGAGAAGTAAACACTGAGGCCGGGTGCCCTGGCTCATGCCTGTCATCCCAGCACTTTGGGAAGCCAAGGCGGGTGGATCACTGGAGGTCAAGAGTTCGAGACCAGCCTGGCCAAAATGGCGAAACTCTGTCTCTCCTAAAAATACAAAAATTAGCTAGCTGGGCATGAAGGTTACGGTGAGCCGAGATTGTGCCACTGCACTCCAGCCTGGGTGACAGAGTTAGACTCTGTCTCAAAAAAAAAAAAAAAAAAAAAAGTAAAACACTGAGTCAGGCTGTGGGCATTCGAGTCCCGGTCAACTTGGTTTAAAGATCTCATGGGAAAATGTTGTCTCCAACAGTATTTTCACTCCACTCAAACAACCCCATGAGGTTTGTTTTGTTGGTTTTTATAAATTTAAATTTAAATTTTTTTTCTTTTTTGAGACACGGTCTCACTGTCACCTAGGCTGGAGTGCAGTGGTGCAGTCATGGCTCACTGCAGCCTCAACTTCCCAGGCTCCTGCGTCAACCTCCCAAGTAGCTAAGACCACAGGCATGAGCCACCACCCCCTCCCCACCTGGCTAATTTTTGTATTTTTGGTAGAGACAGGGTTTTACCATGTTGCCCAGGCTGGTCTCAAACTCCTGACCTCACATATTACTCCCACCTCAGCCTCCCAAAGTGCTGGGATTACAGGTGTGAGCCACCACATCCAGCCAACCCCATGACATTGATGCCCACTTCCCAGATGGGGAAACTGAGACTCAGAGGCATCGGGAGGTTGGCCTGTGCACCCCCTCCTCCTTCTCTGAGCCTTGGTTTCCCTATGGACAAAATAGGTTCTTCTTAGGTTCTGGTCTCCAGAGGGGGAACTCCTGGGCTGCCCTGATGGCCAGCAGGAAAGGAGGCATCAACCACCCATGGGCATCCCCAAGGCTCCTGTGCCTAGCACCCAACTCACACACAATCTGGTTCAGGAAGTCCTTTCCCCTCTGACTTTCACAGTAGCCCAGGACACAAAGAGCCTTCTCGTTCCCACTTTGCAGATGAGGAAAACTGAGTGGAGGGAAAGAGCAATGATGTCAAGTCCCTTTGGATGGAAGTTGGGGACGTGCAGTTTGCCAGGGCTGCCTTTAGTCCCAGAGGTAGGCAGTGTTGAGCAGAACTTTGGAGACCAGAAAATCTGGGCCTAACTAGTATGGCCTTCCCTCATTCCAGGGAGGAAATTCAATCTTTCAGAGCCAGAGTTTTTTCATCCTTAACATGAGCAGGATTGGCCGAGAAAATGTAGGTAAAGTCTTAGCCCTGTATTCAGAACACAACAAGTGCCCAATAAATGGTGCTCTTAGGCCGGGTGCGATGACTCACGCCTGTCATCTCAGCACTTTGGGAGGCTGAGGTGGGTAGATCACTTGAGGTCAGGCGTTCGAGACCAGCCTGGCCAACATGGCGAAACCCCGACTCTACTAAAAATACAGGCTGGGTGCGGTGGTTCACCCCTGTAATCCCAGCACTTTGGGAGGCTGAGGCAGGCAGATCACGAGGTCAGGAGTTCGAGACCAGCCTGACCAGCACGGTGAAACCAAATCTCTACTAAAAATACAAAAATTAACCGGTCATGGTGGCATGCGCCTGTAATCCCAGCTACTTGGGAGGCTGAGGCAGGAGAATCACTTGAAACTGGGAGGTGGAGGTTGCAGTGAGCCAAGATAGTGCCATTGCACTCCAGCCTGGATGACAGAGGGAGACTCTGTCTCAAAAAAAATAATAATAATAATAATAATAAATGGTGCTCTAGGCCGGGCGCGGTGGCTCAAGCCTGTAATCCCAGCACTTTGGGAGGCCGAGGCGGGTGGATCACGAGGTCAGGAGATCGAGACTATCCTGGCTAACATGGTGAAACCCCGTCTCTACTAAAAATACAAAAAACTTAGCCGGGCGTGGTGGCGGGCGCCTGTAGTCTCAGCTACTTGGGAGGCTGAGGCGGGAGAATGGCGTGAACCCGGGAGGCGGAGCTTGCAGTGAGCCGAGATCATGCCACTGCACTCCAGCCTGGGAGACAGAGCGAGACTCCGTCTCAAAAAAAAAAAAAATAAAAATAAAAAATAAATGGTGCTCTTAATGATTCAAGTAAGGGTCAGGGCTTTCATTTTAAGCAGTGCCCTTGCCCCACAGAAACACCTACTGTGTGTGAGGCTCTGGGAGTATCACAGGAAGAACGCACAATCTTTTGTTTCTAGTTGCCAAAAAAGAAAAATGAAATGAGAACGAAAAATAAAGAAGGTTAGGCACAGTAGCTCATGCCTGTGATCCCAGGACTTTGGGAGGCCAAGGTGGGAGGATCGCTTGAGGCCTGGAGTTCAAGACCAGCCTGAGCAAACTAGCAAGACCTCATGTCTTTTTTTTTTTTTTTTTTTTTTTTTTTTGAGACAGTCTCGCTCTGCCCCCCAGGCTGGAGTGCAGTGGCCGGATCTCAGCTCACTGCAAGCTCCGCCTCCCGGGTTCACGCCATTCTCCTGCCTCAGCCTCCCGAGTAGCTGGGACTACAGGCGCCCGCCACCTCGCCCGGCTAGTTTTTTGTATTTTTTTAGTAGAGACGGGGTTTCACCGGGTTAGCCAGGATGGTCTCGATCTCCTGACCTTGTGATCCGCCCGCCTCGGCCTCCCAAAGTGCTGGGATTACAGGCTTGAGCCACCGCGTCCGGCCAGCAAGACCTCATGTCTAAAAAAATATTTAAAAATCAGCCAGGTGTGGTGGTACACACCTGTAGTCCTAGCTACTCGGGAGCTGAGATGAGGGAGAATCGCTTGAACCCAGGAGATCGAGGCTGCAGTGAGCTGTGATCATGCCACTGCACTCCAGCCTGGCCGACAGAGTGAGACCCTGTCACTAAAAAAATAAAAAGCAAAGCATGCCTGGGTGTGTTGGCTCACTTCTCTAATCCCAGCACTTTGAGAGGCCGAGGGAGGTGGATCATGGGGTCAGGAGTTTGAGATCAGCCTGGCCAGTATGGTAAAACCCCATCTCTACTAAAAATACAAAAGTTAGTCAGGCGTGATGGTGCACACTTGTAGTCCCAGCTACTCTGGAGGCTGAGGCAGAAGAATTGCTTGAACCCGGGAGGCAGAGGTTGCAGTGAGCCGAGATCGCGCCACTGCACTCCAGCCTGGGTGACAGAGTGAGACTCCATCTCAAAAAAAAAAAAAGCAAAGCATGGTGTTTATCATAATGATGTGCTAAGCAAGAGTCACTTGGACCCGAATGAGCCTGTATGCCCGAGTTGTGTGACCCCTCAGAGAACCTTAAGCACATCAGTGATGAAGAGTTTTGGAAGGCTCCAGTGTTGGAGTCAGACAGACTTGGACAACTCTAGGTCTGTCAGTTTGTCCACCATTGTTGCCCTGGGCATTTAACCCAACTGATCTTTACCTCCCCTATCTGTAAAATGGGGGACAATCATTAACAGTGCCTTCTCAGGACCGCCATGAACCCTGGAGGTCCTGGCATGGTCGAGGGCTCAGAGGGTCCCCGCCCTGGCCTGACACGTGCTCCTCTTTGACCCCAGACACAGCTGTAATCAGCCCCCAGGATCCCACGCTTCTCATCGGCTCCTCCCTGCTGGCCACCTGCTCAGTGCACGGAGACCCGCCAGGAGCCACTGCCGAGGGCCTCTACTGGACCCTCAACGGACGCCGCCTGCCCCCGGAGCTCTCCCGTGTGCTCAACGCCTCCACCTTGGCTCTGGCCCTGGCCAACCTCAACGGGTCCAGGCAGCAGTCGGGGGACAACCTTGTGTGCCACGCCCGCGACGGCAGCATCCTGGCTGGCTCCTGCCTCTATGTTGGCCGTAAGTTGGCACCCAGAATACCCCAGGGGTAGCCCTTGGGAGCAGCATCTCCCTCTGGAGAGAGGCGTGAATCGTGGGCCTTCTGGCCAGGGGATGAGTGGTGGGCACACTGGCACGGCTATGCAGGTCTTTGAGGTGGGAATGAGAACCTGGAGACCCAGTCAGGCGAGGTGGCTCATGCCTGTAAGCCCAGCACTTTGGGAGGCTGAAGTGGGCAGATCACTTGAAGCCAGGAGTTCAAGGCCAGTCTGGCCAACATGGTGAAACCCCGTCTCTACTGAAAATACAAAAGTTAGCCGGGCGTGCTGACAGGCACCTGTAATCCCAGCTACTTGGGAGGCTGAGACAGGAGAATCGCTTTAACCCGGGGGGCGGAGGTTGCAGTGAGCTGAGATGGCACCATTGCACTCCAGCCTGGGGGACAGAGCAAGACTTTGCCTTGAAAAAAGAAAAGAACCTGGAGATCGGGTCACCAGCCTGTTAAGAGCCCGTGCAGGTGTCACACCAACCGTGCTGGCACTTCTCAGCACAGGGCTGAGACTGTCCTATCCGCCCTCCTTCCACTCCAAGGTGGGGGCCTGGCGGGTGGGCAGCAACCCCTTGGCCCAGGCTCAGCTGGTCCAGACCCTCAGCCTGCTTCCTGCACCCTCCCCCTCTCCCAGTGCCCCCAGAGAAACCCGTCAACATCAGCTGCTGGTCCAAGAACATGAAGGACTTGACCTGCCGCTGGACACCAGGGGCCCACGGGGAGACGTTCCTCCACACCAACTACTCCCTCAAGTACAAGCTTAGGTTAGTGGTGGCCCAAGGGCGATGTGTGTGTCCCAGACTGGCTGTGTGACCTTGACCAATGTGGACCCTCTCTGAGCCCCCATGCGCTGTCTGCACCCAGAGCCTGCCATGGTGAGGTCTGGGGGCCAGAAGGAACCCTCATACGTCCTGTCCCCCTCCCATCCCTGCAGGTGGTATGGGCAGGACAACACGTGTGAGGAGTACCACACAGTGGGGCCCCACTCCTGCCACATCCCCAAGGACCTGGCTCTCTTTACGCCCTATGAGATCTGGGTGGAGGCCACCAACCGCCTGGGCTCTGCCCGTTCCGATGTACTCACGCTGGATATCCTGGATGTGGGTGAGCCCCCAGTGTCCGCTAGGCCCCTCCCTTGGCACCAGCCCAGCCCACCGGGCATCCCGAGAGGTCCCTGCGCCTTCTCATTTTTCCTGGGATCCCGCCTGCCCCTCCCCAGCCCGGCAACTCCTGGACTGTCCCTGCTGGTTAGAGGGAAGGTAGGTAAGTAGCTGAGCATCCGCTCATCAGTCCGCAGCCCCCAGAAACAGCCAGGATACCCCCACTCCACGGAGAACACCTGGCCTGGCCACCTCCCCCTCGGCAGCCCAGGTGTGCAGGAGGGGGCCCTGGGGAGAGGGGAGGGGACGCCCAGGTCGGCAGGCGCCCCAGGAAGCCGAGGCCTGGAGCTGGGGGGCGCAGGGCGGGAGGCAGGAAATGGATGATCTGTGAGCAGAATTGAGCCTAATCTAATTAGGGTGTTTCTCAGCCCCAAGCAGGCCTGTGCCTTAACCCTTTAGGCCCCTCACCAAGGCCTCAGGGGGAGAGGCCAGCTCACCCTGCTGCCCTCAGGGGCCCCCAGAAGGATCCTCAGCCCCCCCAACACACACATACTCCGGGGTTGTAGCCCCCATCCCTACCCCCGCAGCCTCTCTTCCCCACATCCTAAAGCTACAGTGGGAAAGTTCTAAGCCTCAGTTGCTTCTCTGCACCCAGCAAAATGTCACATCAAAGATTTCAGTAAGAGTGGAAGGGAGGTGAGAGTGGGGAGGGGGTGGCAGGGGGGTTCCCAGAAGGCTGACGGCCTGACAGCCCCCTGACCTCCTAAGCATGATAATAATATCATCAACCCGGCAATGTCTGCTTTCCCATAGTCAGTTGAAGATAAGATTATGTTTCGCCCGTCACAGATAATAATGGTGATAACAGCTAACATTAATTAGGTGCTGAGTGTTTCTCCAATATTATATATGGTGTAATCCACCAATCCTGGGGGTGGGGGCAGAGGGAGGAGGAGGAAAACAGAGGCAGGTGCCATCTGGGCCAAGTGCCCTGGGCCACACTGCTGGGGGGAGTTAAACGCAAACAGTTCCAGGCTGAAAGGGGCCCTCCTCCGCCCCGCAGTGACCACGGACCCCCCGCCCGATGTGCACGTGAGCCGCGTTGGGGGCCTGGAGGACCAGCTGAGCGTGCGCTGGGTGTCGCCACCCGCCCTCAAGGATTTCCTCTTTCAAGCCAAATACCAGATCCGCTACCGAGTGGAGGACAGTGTGGACTGGAAGGTGACCCGCCCATTTCCTGACTCCGCCCCGGTTCCTGCCAGGCCCCGCCCCCGCTCCTGCTAGGCCCCGCCCTCTACTCTGACCCTGTCCCGGCTGTCCAGGTGGTGGACGATGTGAGCAACCAGACCTCCTGCCGCCTGGCCGGCCTGAAACCCGGCACCGTGTACTTCGTGCAAGTGCGCTGCAACCCCTTTGGCATCTACGGCTCCAAGAAAGCCGGGATCTGGAGTGAGTGGAGCCACCCCACAGCCGCCTCCACCCCCCGCAGTGGTGAGCACCCCCCTAGGGCCGGGTGATCCAGCGGCCAGTCCAAAACCAGCTAGAGCCTCTGTTTCCTTGTTTTCTTTTCTTTTCTTTTCTTTTTTTGTTCTTTTGAGATGCAGTCTCATTCTGTCGCGCAGTGGCGTAATCTGCACTCACTGCAACCTCTGCCTCCCGGTTTCAAGGGATTCTCCTACCTCAGCCTCCCGAGTAGCTGGGACTACAGGCACGCACCAACATACACAGCTAATTTCTGTATTTTTTAGTAAAGACGGGGTTTCACCATGTTGTGCAGGCTGGCCTCGAACTCCAGACCTCGGGTGATCTGCCCATTTCGGCCTCCCAAAGTGCTGGGATGACATGTGTGAGTCACCGTGCCCAGCCTGTTTCCTGGTTGTCTCCAAGAGAGTAGAGGTCTCAAACTGGTGGCCCCCCCAGAGCTGAATGTGGCCCTTGGATCTATTTTCTTTGGCCTGTTGTTTGGGGAAAAAAAAAAAGTTTGACCAACTAGTAGAAATTTAAAACCAGGACGTTTTTACACAAATATCCTAGATTCCTTAGAAAAATAAATTCTCCAGAAAATGTAACAGCATGGCCCACAGCCCCCATCAGCAGTGGTCACCCCTTCCCAGGACCCTCACTCTCCATTTGCCCATCCCCACCTGGCCTGTTTTGGACACTCAGACTCCCTCCTAAGAGGGCCAGCGAGGCCAGGCACGGTGGCTCATGCCTGTAATCCCAGCACTTTGGGAGACTGAGGCTAGCGGATCATGAGGTCAGGAGATAGAGACCATCCTGGCTAACACAGTGAAACCCCGTCTCTATTAAAAATACAAAAAATTAGCCGGGTATGGTGGCGGGCGCCTGTAGTCCCAGCTACTTGGGAGGCTGAGGCAGGAGAAGGGCAGGAACCTGGGAGGCAGAGCTTGCAGTAAGCCGAGATCGCGCCTCTACACTCCAACCTGGCCAACAGAGCGAGAGACTCCGTCTCAAAAAAGAAAAAAAAAAAAAAAAAGAGGGCCAGCGAGTTTGAGACCCTTGCTTCTAAGGCCAATGGGCTGCCAACTCCCACTTTGATGGGCCTCAGTTTCCCCTTCTGATTAAGGCAGGGGGATGGGAATGATTAGGTGCCTAGATCTGCCTCCTCTTGCTGTCTGGGGTTTCTCCGGGTCCACAGGCCTCTACTCTCTCTTTTGTGAAATGAAACAAAAGCTGTTACTTGGAATGTCTGGCCTCCGTTTCCCCATCTGGAAGGTAGGGTCAAGAATCCCACTTGCCTTGGGCTGTTGTGAGGGTTGGATGACATAAAATTGTGGCAAATGCCCACATGGTGGGTGCCACCTAAGTGCTTGCAGGCAGTTGGCATGGAGGTACTTATTGTCCCGTCCCTCCAGGGTTTCACTGCAAGGGAGACCGCTTTTTCTCAGGTGAGGACACTGAGGCTCTAGGAGGTCACATGGGTCTGAACTTAGTTCACAAGGAAGTCCAAGCTCACTCTGGCATGAGAGATGATAGGGAAACTGAGGCCCTGAGAGGGTCCCAGAGCTAGGGAGGGGTAGAGTCAGGCTCCAGTCAGCTCCCCAGCCCCTATCCTGGGCCCCTCCAGGTTCGGGGGTGGGCGGGAGCAAGCGCAGCCGGGAGGGGCCTGAGCCTTGGCCCCTGCTCGTGCCCGGCACCTGCGATTCTTGCACAGGAGCCAGCAGGCCGCTGCGTCCGCAGGGGAGGCTGGGGAGGCCGGGGAAGGCCAGCAGGGGCGGCGGGGGCCGGGGCCGTGCCAGGGGCTGTCAGCGGGTCCCCGGCTTTATTTATGACGTGAGGCCGATGTCCTTATCCGCCGGCCTGCTGGGGGGCTGGCTGCAGCCGGCAGCTGGACCGACAGGCAGGCCTCCCACCTGGTCCTCCCGGCCCACTCCCTGTCCCATGGGCCCATGCTGGGGACTGTCCCATGGGGTCATCTTGCACTCGGTCTCCCTTCATCTGTCACTCTTCCTCTGTGTCTCTGTCTCGATCTCTTTGTCCCTATGTCCCCAGGGTTTCTGTCCTACCCTGATCAGGCCCTTTCCTCCTGGGCTGACCCCCTTTGCTTTCACCTACCCTGCGTCTCCATCTCTCCATCCCTGGCCTCGGCTCTCTCATCCGTGCGTCTTTCTTCCTTTCTCTTTTTCAGCCCCCTGCTCTGTCTGTCTCTGTGTCTCATCCCCCCCAGCTCTGGCCTCTCTCATTCTCCCCTCCCCCCACTCCACTCGCACCTGGCTCAGTCCACAGGAATCGGGTTCCTGGAGGAGATGTGGAGGAGGAGCCCCTTCCTTCCCCCGCCCCCCACCCCACCTCCCCAGGGGCGCAACCGGGCCAGGGGCGCAGCTGGGCTGCTGTGCAGGGCCTCGGGGAGGACTCGGTCCCTGAGAAACCGGGAGGGAGGTTCCCCGAGGGGAACATCGTCCTGCCGCGCCGGGGTCTTCCCTCTCCTGCTCGCGCGCACCCCCTGCCGGGCGCGCCCTGACACTGCCGCTCCGCCCACCACCAGAGCGCTCGGGCCCGGGCGGCGGGGCGTGCGAGCCGCGGGGCGGAGAGCCGAGCTCGGGGCCGGTGCGGCGCGAGCTCAAGCAGTTCCTGGGCTGGCTCAAGAAGCACGCGTACTGCTCCAACCTCAGCTTCCGCCTCTACGACCAGTGGCGTGCCTGGATGCAGAAGTCGCACAAAACCCGCAACCAGGTAGGAAGGAGAGACCCGCGGGCGTGGGTGGGGACAGGGAGCTGGGGGGCCCAGGAAACAGGGGAGGGGGAAGAAAGCAGGCTGTGGACGCAGGTCTGCAGCCCCCACGACACCTCTGCCTTCCTTCCAAGCACAGGACGAGGGGATCCTGCCCTCGGGCAGACGGGGCACGGCGAGAGGTAAGGTGGGCCTGAATGGGTGCGCGGGAGGGAGCAAGGGGAGGGCCCCTTCCGGTGGCTGCAGGTCTTGTTCACACCCCCACGCCTCCCAACCCCAGCCTTAGAGTCGCCGAGATGGAATCCGTCCTCTTCCTTTGTTATTTATCAGCATTTATTTAGCACTTACTGTATAACTGGTATTGTCTGCTTTAGCCTAAGAACATTCAATGCCCTGAAAATGTCCGAAGTGGAATCTCCTCCGAAATGAATGAACATACTCACCCTAGTTAGCATGTATGGGCACCTACTGCATACTGGCCCCGCACCAAGTGCTTTACCTGCAGCTCAGATAGCCTCGCCAAGGCCCAGAGAGGGGCAGGATCCTGCCCAAAGTCACACAGCCAGAAGCGGTGGGAACAGGACCCGAATGAGGGCTCCTTCAGTGGCTCTGTGGTGCAGCCCTCTCCCGGGCTCCCTGCTTAGCTCGGCTTCCCCTCTGCCTGCAGGTCCTGCCAGATAAGCTCTAGGGGCCCAGGCCACCCTCCCTGCCACATGGAGACGCAGAGGCCGAACCCAAACTGGGGCCACCTCTGTACCCTCACTTCAGGGCACCTGAGCCACCCTCAGCAGGAGCTGGGGTGGCCACTGAGCTCCAACGGCCATAACAGCTCTGACTCCCATGTGAGGCCACCTTTGGGTGCACCCCAGTGGGGGGGTGTGTGTGTGTGAGGGTTGGTTGAGTTGCCTAGAACCCCTGCCAGGGCTGGGGGTGAGAAGGGGAGTCATTACTCCCCGCTACCTAGGGCCTCTCCAAGAGTCCTTTTAAATAAATGAGCTATTTAGGTGCTGTGATTGTGAAGGTGAGTTTGGGGCCTACCTGGCCTGGGGTGGGGGCTGTAAGATTTTAGGGGAATGTGAGGCATCTTAATGACCCTTTGAGATGAGAATTTTCACCTCCCAGGACTTCAGACTGTCTCTCCAGTATTTGCAAGGTCTGATTCTGAACTCCTTGGAGAATGTGATTCAAAATACCTGAGTCGGCTGGTCCCTAAGGCTCATTCCTATAATCCCAGAACTTTGGGAGGCCAAGCTGGGAGCATTGCTCGAGGCCAGGAGTTGGAGACCAGCCTGGGCAACAAAGGGGGACCTCATCTTTACTAAAAGTAAAAAATCGGCTGGGCGCGGTGGCTCACACCTCTAATCCCAGCACTTTGGGAGGCTAAGGCAGGTGGACCAAATGAGGTCAGGAGTTGGAGACCACCCTGACCAACATGGAGAAACCCCATCTCTACTAAAAATACAAAATAACTGGGCATGGTGGCGCATGCCTGTAATTCCAACTACTCAGGAGGCTGAGGCAGGAGAATCACTTGAACCCAGGAGGTGTAGGTTGCAGTGAGCCGAGATGGTACCACTGTACTCCAGCCTGGGCAACAAGAGCAAAACTATCTCAAAAAAAAAAAAAAAAAAAAAAAAAATTGGGCTCATGGTGGCATGTGCCTATAGTCCCAGTTACTTGGGAGGCTGAGGCAGGAGGATCGTTTGAGCGGGGTGAAGCCGAGGCTGCAGTGAGCCGTGATCTCACCACTGCACTCCAGTCTTGGTGACAGAGCAAAGCCCTGTCTCAAGCAAAAAAACCTCAGAGTTTCTAGGGAGGGTGGGAGTCTTCTACCCATAATCCCTGGCCCTGTGGGGGTCCCCCCCTCCCCAGGCACACTGGCTGCAGTACCCTAGGACACAGAGATGGCAGAGCGGCTACAGAGGAAGGGCTTTTTATTGTGGGAGGTGTCTCGAACTGCACGAAGGTCAGCAGCGCAGTGGGGCGAGACCCCAGCCAGCTGGCGGTTAGGGCTGGGCTGGACGCCATCCGCCCCTTTTCCCATCTCCCTCGGCGCATCCCTGGGGAGCCGCCATCACTCGGCAGATTCCGCATCAAACCTGAGGTCCTGGAGAACCTCGCTGATCGCCTCCATGGTTTTAATTACCCTACAAGAGCGGATGGGAACTATAAATAAAACCCAGATGGGGTGAATTAGCTGCTGCCGCGAAGCTGCAAGAGGGCTGTGGCTGTGGTGAGCCCCGGGCCCTCCTGCCCGCCGCCAAACCTCCAGGCAGCACTAGCAGCAGGAGGGACCGCTTAGGTGCCTGGGAGAAGGGGTGGCCCCATAGGTCACAGTGGGCTGAGAGAAAAGGCCATCTGGGCTCTGGGCACAGTGGCTTACGCGTGTAATCCAGCATTTTGGGAAGAGGCAGGCGGATCACCTGAGGTCAGGAGTTCAAAACCAGTCTGGCCAACATGGCGAAACCCCATCTCTACTAAAAATACAAGAACTAGCCAAGCGTGGGGGCAGGCATCTGTAACTCAAGCTACTTGGGAGGCTGAGGCAGAAGAATCGCTTGAACCTGGGAGGCAGAGGTTGAGATGAGCCAAGATCGCGCCACTGCACTCCAGCCTGGGTGACAGAGCAAGACTCTGTCTCAAAAAATAGAAAAAAACGGAAAAAAAAAAAAAAAAAAAAAGGACCGGGAGTGCTGGCTTATGCCTGTAATCCCAGCACTTTGGGAGGCTGAGGCGGGCAGATCACGAGGTCAGGAGATGGAGACCATCCTGGCCAACATGGAGAAACCCCGTCTCTACTAAAATACAAAACATTAGCTGGGCGTGGGGCACATGCCTGTAGTCCCAGCTACTTGGGAGGCTGAAGCAGGGGATTCATTTGAACCCAGGAGGCGGAGGTTGCAGGGAGCTGAGATCGCGCCACTGCACTTCAGCCTAGCGACAGAGTGACTCCATCTCAGCAAAAAAAAAAAAAAAAAAAAAAAAAAGGCCATCTTGGTGGGATGTGTAGCATCAGGAGGTTATGAAGCATGACTGTCAAATGTGTATGTACATGAGTGTGTGTGCTTGGGGGCTGAGAACAGGCATCTGAAGGTTTGTGCTCAGTGGGGCATGGGTGACAATATCCAAGCTCCACAGACAGCCACGTGTGCAGGATTGGCATGAGTCGAGGTACACAGCAGTGTCCCAGCAATGCACAGCGAAATTGATGTGAAGTTTCACGACTATGCCCTCTGGGGAAGTGTATATCTGAGGGCCACCAGATGAGAACACCATTGTACAGAGGCAGAGGGTTCCTCTGCTGGGTCTGACCGTGCCAACCCTGGTGCAAATGAAGCATAGCCAGGCGGCTTGGGCAGCAGCGCTCACTTCATTTTCAGCTGGTGCATCTGTACAGCGTCCTCCTGCCCCGCCAACTCTGGCGTCTCCATCAGCTGCAGCAGGGCCACCTGGTGGGGGAATGAGCAACGCGAAGGATGTCTCCACCGGCAGAAGCCACCCCCTGCCCTCCCAGGATGTTCAGGAAAAGACAGAGGCACCCAGAAAGGCAGTGCCCGGGTAGAACCACAAGGGGCAGTGCTTTGTGTAGGAAGAGTCCGAAATTCAGTTTAGAGGGGCTCTCAGAAGGCAGACAGCGAGCATGCCAGAGGCAGTGCTGAGCGCGATGTGGGCGTGGCCTGGGAAGAAAAGTGACGTCTTTGGCTCAAGCCTGTAATCCCAGCACTTTGGGAGGCCGAGACGGGCGGATCACGAGGTCAGGAGATCGAGACCATCCTGGCTAACACGGTGAAACCCCGTCTCTACTAAAAAATACAAAAAACTAGCCGGGCGAGGTGGCAGGCGCCTGTAGTCCCAGCTACTCGGGAGGCTGAGGCAGGAGAATGGCGTGAACCCGGGAGGCGGAGCTTGCAGTGAGCTGAGATCCGGCCACTGCCCTCCAGCCTGGGTGACAAAGCGAGACTCCGTCTCAAAAAAAAAAAAAAAAAAAAAAAGTAGGCTAAAAAGGCTGGACGCGGTGGCTCACGCCTGAAATCCCAGCACTCTGGAAAGCCGAGGAGGGCGGATCGCTTGAAACCAAGAGTTCGAGACCAGCCTTGCCCATATGGCAAAACCCCGTCTCTACTAAAAAAAAAAAATACAAAAATTAGCCGGGCGTGGCGGGGCACGCCTCTAATCCCAGCTACGCAGGGGGCTGAGGCAGGAGAATTGCTTGAACCCGGGAGGCAGAGGTTGCAGTTAGCGGAGATCGCGCCATTGCACTCTAGCCTGGGTGACAAGAGCGAGACCCTGTCTTTAAAAAAGGAAAAGAAAAAAGGCCAAAAAGAGGCTGAGACGGGTAGCTCATGGGGGGCGTGGCCTAGGAATTCCAGAGCAGATCTCGGTGTGGGCGTGGCCTCACGTAGATGTGACCGGCCACACACCCACCCACCCACCCACACCCACACACACACACACACGCATGGTTGCAGGGCCTAGTAGGCGGATCTCGGGAGAGAAATAGGCAAAAAAACTAAAGCTGTGATGGAGGAATACGGAGGAGGCGTAGCCTGGGAACCCCCTCGCCTGTATCTACGGGAGGTTGGGGGTGGGACAGGAGAAGCGGAAGAGTGTGGGTGGAGCATTGTTGGGGCGGGACCTGGGCGTGCTGGAATAGCATTTAGGCGGGGCTGGGAGAAAGTGGGAATGCTCTAGGAATAAGGACAAAACTTGGAAAAAAAATTGGGTATAAACAGCAAGGGCAAGGTCCAAGAATCCTCAAGTGAAGACTTAATAGAGGATTGATGTGGGACTGTAAGGGGTGAGGTCTGTGTATGGGATACTGGGACCACCCCCCAGTCCATCAACCAGGGGTGCGCCACGAGAGGAACCGGCCAGGGTCCTAGGGACGCGGCGGGGAATGGGTGGTGGCCTCACCGTGCCCAGCCGCGTCTGCTCCAGCTCCTGCAGGCTGCGCACGTGGCTGGCGAGCAGCGGCTGCCTGCGAGGCCCGGCCAGCTCTGCTTCCACCGCCAGCACCTCCCGCGAGGCGGCGGCGAAGGCCTGAGTCACCTCGTGCACTGTGCTCCGGTAGCGCGCGAAGTCGTAGTCCGGGCCGCTGCGCAGGTACTGGCGGTGGCCTCTGCGGCAGGTGGGGACCCTGAGGCCGCGCCCCTAGGTTCTCAGGCTCTGCACCCGCGCCAACCACCTAAAAGGCCCCCAGGAAGTGTCCCCGGCCCCCAGAGGGGAGGACTGGTAGGTAGGAAGGACGCTTCCTGACTCCCGCAGGGGAACCCGAGACAGGCCCACCCCTGCTCTTGGGGAGGAGAGAGAAGCCACAAGGAGTGGGTCGTCGGGTAGTGAGGACGTGCTGTGGGGCCTTTCTCGTGAAGGTGAGGACTCGGTGCCCCGAAATCCCCGCCGCATCGGACTCTGCAGCCGAGCGAGGACCCAGCTCCTCCTCCAGGCACGCCCGCCGAAAGCACGCCCACGCCCAGAGCGGGCGGGGAACTGAACCCTGAACCCCTGCGCACCCCCACTCACTCCTCCAGTCGGCGGAAGCCCTGCGCGCGCTCAGCCTGCAGCTGGTGGATGCGCTGCACCAGCGTCCGGATCGGGGCGTCTTTCTGTGGGGCGGGGGGCACGGCTGGGGTATGTAACCGGCGCCCCTGGGTCTGCGCCGCCCGCCCCGCGCCCGTTCCCGCTCGGGCCTGGACTCACCCAGGGCCACGCCAGCTCCTTGCGTCCCGGAGCTTCGGTGGTCTCCTCAGGAGCGGGCACTGCGGGGACCGTGGGCTCCGCCGCGGTCTGGGTGATCATGACTGCGCAGCCTGGCCAGGCTCCGGAGCAGGTCCTTCCACTGCGTCCGACGCCCCCTACAGGCCGGGAGGTCCACGGACCCCCACCCTGCGGCTGGCCAGCCACGAGACCTCGGGGAAGAAAGGCGAGCCAAGACCGCGGGCCGCCCAAGCAAGCCCTCCATCCTCCACCCACTCTTCTTTTTTTTTTTCTTTTTTTTTTTTGAGACGGAGTCTCGCTCTACCGCCCAGACTGGAGTGCAGTGGCCGGATCTCAGCTCACTGCAAGCTCCGCCTCCCGGGTTTACGCCATTCTCCTGCCTCAGCCTCCCGAGCAGTTGGGACTACAGGCGCCTGCCACCGCGCCCGGCTAGTTTTTTGTATTTTTTAGTAGAGACGGGGTTTCACCGTGTTAGCCAGGATGGTCTCGATCTCCTGACCTCGTGATCCGCCCGTCTCGGCCTCCCAAAGTGCTGGGATTACAGGCTTGAGCCACCGCGCCCGGCCATCCACCCACTCTTCTTGTTCCGGTCCAGCGATCGCGTTTTTCCTTGAATGTGCGGCTCTGAATACAGAACAGCTGTTAGCCTTGAGTTCGTTTATATGCTTGTATCTCAACACCGACTTCCGCGTGAAGCGGGTATTGAGCGTGGATTTTGACATTCAAGAGCGTTAAGTAAGCCTGGGCAACCTAGGGAGGCCCGCTCTCTACAGAAAAAACAGCCCGACATGGTGGCTCCCGCCTATAGTCCCAGTTACTCGGGAGGCTGAGGTGGGAGGATTGCTTGAGCCTGGGAGTTGGGGGCTGCCATGAGCTATGACCGTGCCACTGCACTCCAGCCGGAGCCACAGTGAGACTGCCTCAATAAAAGTGCAGTGGCTGGAACTCCACCGACATTAACAGAGATTCGCTGGCTGTCCAGAGAATCACAGGGGTGAAGACAAGATTCAGTGACAGGGACGGTGTCAACGGCCCTCCGAATTGAATTGGGTGTCTTATGTAATAGCCCTGAGCCTGGGGCATAGCAGGGGCCAGTACGACCTCAAAGTACAGAGGAGGCCTTGGAGCTTCCTGCTGGAGGGATCCACGGGCTAGATTGAGCTTTGGAAAGCTTCCTCCTCCAGGGACCCAGCCGGAGGAGTAGGAAGATGCTGGTAGCCTAACCTAGTGAAGAGGGACCAGCTCAGGTATGGGGTGACAGACACCAGCCTTCAAGGGGGAAGGGACTAGGCTGTTAGTGAGTCGGGAGTTTTTCCTGCCGATGGGTTCGTGGTCTCACTAACTTTGAAGAATGAAGCTGTGGACCTTCGCGGTGTGTGTTACAGCTCAAAAAGAGTCCACAGACCGGGAGAGTGAGCAGCAGCGCAGTTTATTGAACAAAGCGAAAGGAAAGCTTCCACAAGCTGGAAGGGGACCCAGAAGGGTTGCAGTTACTGGCTCGCTAGGGCTTATATCCCGGTGTTACCCCCTTCCCTTTCTTTTTATCCATTGAGAGTGGTTCTTTTTTCAATCCTCCCTTGGAGTGGTTTTTATTATTATTATTATTATTTATTTTTTTTTTTGAGACAGAATCTCGCTCTGTCACCCAGGCTGGAGTGCAGTGGCGCCATCTCGGCTCACTGCAAGCTCTGCCTCCCGGGTTCACGCCATTCTCCTGCCTCAGCCTCCCGAGTAGCTGGGACTACAGGGCGCCACCAGGCCCAGCTAATTTTTTGTATTTTTAGTAGAGACGGGGTTTCACTGTGTTGACCAGGATCGTCTCAATCTCCTGACCTCGTGATCCACCCGCCTTGGGCTCCCAAGTGCTGGGATTACAGGCGTGAGCCACCGCACCCGGCCTGGAGCCGTTAATTTTGAATCCTTCACTCCATTGGTTAAGAACTCAAAACCCTGAGTCACAGGGGTCTTCTGTGAAAATCCCTGAACTGGCCCAGAAAGTCCCACCAACTCCACCCCTCAGTCCCCTCTCTCAACAGAAGACCCCAACTGCTGTTGGGGTGTGGGACAATGACGGCTCTAATTGCTTCCTGCTAAATAGGGCCATAGAACGGGTCCTGTAGCTGAGGTTTCCTCGTGAGCGGTGGTTTGGGTGTCAACGTCCAGGTATGGGCTGGCCGTCTAGGGTGCTGATAATAGGTGCTGGTTGAAGTTATCCAAGGTTCCATCTACAGTACCATTTCTAGTTTCATTGATTCTATTCGGGAAGAAACGAAGCAGATGAGGGAATTGAAAAGACATGGGCCGGGCCAAGGTATCCCAGCATTAGGGAGGGGGACACAGTAAAAAATGGAAGAAACCCAAAAAAAAAAAACAGGAGGGGGGGGGAGGGGGGGGGGGGGGGGGGGGGGGAGTGAGAGAGACCCAGTGGAGAGGAACCGTAAAAAAAAAAAAAAAAAAAAAAAAAAAAAGAAAAGACATGGGCCAAATTACTCCAGAATAAGGAGGGGACCTAAAAATGGAAGAAGCCAGGAGAGAACACGCTGTGAGAACCCTGAGGTAGCTTCGGTTGTCCCACTGTGTAGTCTGCTGGCTCTATTCTGAAGTCATTTAATTCCATCTCTGACTATGCCTGATTTACTGACAAAAAAACAACATTCCTGGCTCAGAAAAAGGCACGTTCCTCCCCTTTCAGCAGTGAGGACATCTAGTGCTCGCCCGTTCTGGAGAACCACGGCTGCTAATGAGTCTGTTTGGTCCTGGATTTGAGTAAGTTGGAGAGAGATTTCATCTAGGCTTTCTCTTAGTTCTTTAGAGAGAGTTAAGGATACTGTGAGCCCAGCGGTTCCAGTTTCTAGGGTGGTAGTAAATCCTAAACCAGCCAATAGAGGAAGTAGTGAGATTGCTCTCCGCTGAAGCTTACCATGAATGGGCACAGCTACTGCCTCTTCTGAAAAGGAATAAGTCACAGGAGGTACTATGTAGGCTAAAGTAGAAGTTCCTGTCCAGTTGGTGGGATGCAAATATAGAAGGATCTTCCACACACAAAGAAAACTCCTTGTCGGGGTTCTATACACCCCTGTAGCTGAAAATCTCATAAGGGCTGGGGTTGGTCTAAATTCATTTCTCGTTCCCATGATTTGAGAGTTTGGGACAAATGGACGACTCCTAGCGGTTGGAGGTGAATATAATTTGCCGAGGACGTATTACGGGGTTCCTCTAAGGCAAACCGGTGGCTAGCAGCAATAAGAAAAACTCATGCTCCACAGACAGGAAGCAGGGGGCAATGGGTTTTTTTTAACCCTTCGCCTGTGAGAGAGGAACAAAGTCCCAGGAGGGGAATATCCTGGGCAAAGGGAAGTCTGCCCCAGCAGTAATTGCTTGTTTTGGTCTCTGGTGGGGAAATTATTTGGCTTGGGTTGGTAAATCTTAAGGGACAGGTGACTGAAATAGGGTTTCCAAGGAGCTCATGTTTATTTCCACAAAACGTAGGGGTGCCAGTAGTGATACTGTAGGAATTAGAATATTTGAACTCTAGATCCAAGGGAAGCGTATAGTTGCAGCCAGCCATGTGTCCCACATCTTGTGATCCTGGGAACACTTGACGGGAGATACAAAGGAGTGGAGGCGAAGAGAAGGAGGTTATTGTGCCCACAGAACCTATGATTGGGATGACTGATATAGTGAATTGTCGGAGAATGGCAGCGGCTGCTTTTAAGGCTGCTTGAGCCCTGTCAGGGAAATTGGACCTATCACTAGGATGAAAAAATCCTGGGCCCTTAGAAGTGTTAGCTATGTATAAGGCTGTAGAGCTTTCCACCCATATGTTGAGGGGGGCCGGAACTGCTATATATAAGGGGGAATGAGCGTTCATGAAAACCCAACAGGATGAGTTACTCTGACTGGGATGTGCTTCAAATAAAAACCTGGAGGACGGCTGGGCACGGTGGCTCAAGCCTGTAATCCCAGCACTTTGGGAGGCCGAGACGGGCGGATCACGCGGTCAGGAGATTGAGACCATCCTGCCTAACCCGGTGAAACCCCGTCTCTACTAAAAAATACAAAACACTAGCCGGGCGAGGTGGCGGGCGCCTGTAGTCCCAGCTACTTCGGAGGCTGAGGCAGGAGAATGGCGTAAACCCAGGAAGCGGAGCTTGCAGTGAGCTGAGATCCGGCCATTGCACTCCAGCCTGCGCGACAGAGCGAGACTCCCTCTCAAAAAAAAAAAAACAAAAAAAAAAAAAAAAAAAACCTGGAGGACATGTTTATAATTCCCTCAAGATCAGGGGAAGAGGTTGAACGGGAAAAGGTTAAGACTTGGGCAAAGGCAAGGAAAGATAGAATGTTAGAGTACATTCTGATTTTAAAACAAGAACTGAGGTAGAACTTATGAGCACTGATTAATTTCCTGTGGTTTTTCCTTCTGAAAGAGGATACGTAGGTCTTCCAATGACTCGCAGGTATAAGAAGGTTTGTCTGGCTGACTCTTAGATTCTCAAACTAATGATTCTGTGGGTTTTTCAGGCTGCGTCCAAGGTTTGATTTGGGTGTGATGGATCCAAGACTCCACTTGACTTGACTGCAGTTGGAGTGGAGAGGGTAACTGAATATCTTCCTTCCCAGGATAGATTTAGGGATGGGGAGGTAGAGGAGAGGGACTTGACTAATACTAGATGCCCGGGATGGAACAATGCTTTTCCCTTTTCTCAGTGGCATCCCTCGGGTAATGTCTTAAGGATTTGTTGGTACCTAGCCAAAGAAGTTATGTCCTTGACTAAGTTGGCAGTTTCTCAATCAAGTAAGAGGTCGTTTGTGAGAAAAGGCCGTCCATATAGCATTTCATAAGGACTGAGTTGAAGGGGTGGCCTGCCCCTCCACACCTGTGGGTGTTTCTCGTTAGGTGGAACGAGAGACTTGAGAAAAGAAATAAGACACAGAGACAAAGTATAGAGAAAAGCGGGGGCCCAGGGGACCGGCGCTCAGCTTACAGAGGACCCACGCCGGCACCGGCCTCTGAGTTCCCTTAGTATTTATAGATAATTATCTTTACCATCTTAAAGATAAGGGAGTGGCAGGACAATAGGATCATTTTTAGGGAGGAAATTAGCAGTAAGACATAAGAACAAGGATCTGTGACATGAATAAGTTTAAAGGAAAATCCTGTGCCTTGAGATAAACCTTTTAGCAACATTGTTTCATCCTATCACATGGGGATAAACCTTGGACAATACCTAGCTTTTCTAGGAACAAAGTCACACCCTGCACGCCCAAAATCCATTAAACCTTGAGTTACCACAGCACATGTCTCTTGCAAGGACAAGGTTGGGGGTAGGGTCACAGATTAACAGCATCTCAAATACAGAACAAAATGGAGTCTCTTATGTCTACTTCTTTCTATATAGACACAGTAACAGGCTGATCTCTTTCTTTTCCCCACATTTCCCCCTTTTCTTTTCAACAAAACCACCATTGTCATCATGACACCGAGATTACATACTTCACAAAGTAATAGAATATCACAAAGCAAGTGGAGGCAGGATGAGATCACAGGATGGTGTTAAAATTAAAATTTTTGGGCATGCATAGTCATGGATAACATCTTATCAGAAAACAGGGTTTGAGAGCAGACAACCTGTCTGACCAAAATTTATTAGGTGGGAATTTCCTCGTCCTAATAAGCCTGGGAGCGCTACAGGAGGCCGGGGCTTATTTCATCCCTTCGGCTTCAACCGTAAAAGGCGGCACGCCTCCAAGGGGGTCGTTTATAGGCCTACCCTCAGAGCGCATTCTCTTTCTCAGGGGTGTTCCTTGCTGAGAAAAAGAATTCAGCGATATTTCTCCTATTTGCCATAATGAAAAAGAGAAAGAATATGGCTCTGTCCGTCGGCTCACCGGCGGCCAGTTCAAGGTTGCCTCCCTTGTTCCCTGAACATTGCTGTTATCCTGTTCTTCTTCAAGAAGCCCAGATTTCATATTGTTCAAACACACCATGCTCCACAAACAATTTTGTGCAGTTTAAGGCAATCATCACAGGGTCCTGAGGTGACATATATCCTCCTCAGTTTACAAAGAAGATTGATAGAATTAAGAGATTAAAGTAAAGACATAAGAAAATTACAAAAGTATTAATTTTGGAGAAACTAATAAATGTCCATGAAAATCTTCACATTTATGTTTTTCTGCTGTGGCTTCAGCCAGTCCTGCGTTCAAGGTCCCTGACTTCCCGCAACGTTCTCCCTCCCCTTGTCCTCTATATAAATGTGCCATGTGATGAAGGCTTGTTCGTTAGTCAATGGTGCTCGATTGTTCGTTAGTCAATGGTGCTCCTCTCCCTGGAGGCGCTTTTCTTGGCATCTCTGATGGTTCATTGTAGAACTTCAAATGTTTAGTGGGTA